TATATATGCTGGCTTGGGCCTCCTAATAATACAAGTTGCATCATAACACATGCAACCATGACATCATCAAAAGATTCTTTCAGATTTGAACTTAAAAAAAGTTCTATCTCCTGAATTGTTAACCTGATTGACGATCCACTTTCACCTTAGCTTTCTCGTGGCGAGATCTTCAAAACTAGATCACATGTCGGCATGTTTCGACAACTTTTTGTTGTCGATACTTGCAGATTACTATCACTTACTTGCCATGTTATTAGTCAGATAGTTACCGGATTTAATTAACTTAGTTGCCAGATTGCTCAACTGAAGTGTAGGCTGATGCTTCTTACTCGTTAACACTTGAATAATCACTATCTAGCTTTGCATAACATTGCAAAGTTAAAAAATATAACATTGCAAAGTTAAAAAATATACAAAATTATTGTCTGGTAACTACTCATAATTCTTGTGGCAACCGTGATGGCAACTATGGTGACATAATCTGGCAATTCATGGCAGCGTTTTTTTTTCACCGGAACATGTCACATGGGATCTTGTTTCATAGCCCTCGCCGAGGTGAACCCATCGGTTAAGATTGATCGTTATTGGATTACTGGTTTGTGAGATAAATCATTTAAAAAATTCAAAAAGCAATTAATGTGATGATGTCAGCATGATGTGTAAGATTCTTGCATGCCTGCATGTGCTCTCAGTATAGTAAAAAATCCCATTGAAGTGCACGCATGCACACTTACGCAAAGTAGAATTTCCATTCCTTTTTGGGTTGCTCGGTTTAGGTTTTACTTCACAAATTCCTTTGTTTATGGATTTGTGATAAGAAACATTGTTATATGGAACCTATATTGGGAGGATGAGGCACATCTTCCTGTATTTTATACACCTGAGAAACATTATAAATTCACAACTTTACAAACAGTTTTTGTGTCAAATGCTATGGGTAATTGATTTAATTGACATGCCTGCCTATTCATGGTTATTATCAGAAACACAACAGTTGCTTATTATGATTGTTAGAAAATGATATCATTCTTTTGACATGTTACACACTTTCAGGTACCATATGGTGTGCATTTCAAGTATAATTATTTTGTTCGAGAGGAAAAAAATTCCTCTAATGACATCATATGGAGGCCTGGACCTGAGTGCTCCTTATCGATACCTTCTGTTAGCCAGAAAAATCATGTCATCCTTGTAAAAGATCAGTGGATGGAAACCAGTGTGGCAGGTATTTCCTCTCCTTCCTGGGGATCATGGCTGATGGAAGCTGATTCTGTTGAAGATCAAATTGCTGAGAGAGGGAAGCGTGAGAGCATTGTGAAAGCCCACTCTGTTATAGATATGGTGGACGGAGCTTCATCTGTAGGTAATGTTGCTCTACCACATATTTTCATTTAATTAGTATTGACTGAGGCCCTTAGAGTTGCTGAACACTTAAATGTTTTCAGTTGATTGGCAGGTGAGCATATTATAATGAGACTTTGGAATGGCACACCTTTAGATTCAGTCAGTCCATCCATCAGTGTGCATGATGATTTTGCTGCAGCTGATAAACCAAATGCAATTAAAGTAAGTGTAAACCAACATGAGATAAATCAGCCTGTTGAGGAGCCATGGGTTCTTGGACCTATCGTCTCATTAAAGAACTCCGTTGCACAAGTGAAACGCAAGAAAGACAGAAGGAAGTTTTTGAATACGGAAAAGGATTCAGGTGAAATAACTGAAAACATGCCTGAACAGGATCAGCCTGTGGAGGAGCCATGGTTATTTCAGTCTTGGGTGACAGCAAACAGAGCTGGTGTTATATCAAAACGGAAAGTAGAAGCAAAGGGCATTATGAAAAGGTTAAAAGAATTTGATAAACCCTCAGCAGCTTCTGAGAAGGATATGCCTGCCAGTGGTGAACCACCAAGAGTCATATTAATTAACTCCTCTATCTGCAGTACACAGAGAATTGCAGTATTGGAAGATGGGAAATTAGTTGAACTCTTGCTGGAGCCCATAAAGAACAATGTACATTGTGACAGTATTTATTTAGGTATAATAACAAAACTTGTGCCTCACATGGGAGGTGCTTTTGTCGACATTGGAATTTTGAGACCTTCACTTATGAGCATAAAGCAAAACCGTGATCCATTTGTGTATCCTCAAATTGTCAAGGATATTAAAGGAGGTTCTGCTAATGATTCTGGTTATAACGATGAGAGCCTTCTGACATACGATGATGATGATGATGTTGATGATGATATGGCTGACAATGAGTTTGCAGATGAAGAAAATGACGATGATTCATCAACATTTCTGGCTCAGAATGTTAAGGAAAATGAAGAAGGCTTGGACATTGTGTCCCATTCTAATATGAAGAAGATTGATGGTGCTGAATTTGAAAATGTCTCTGGTTGGGATGATGAAATTGATGATCACGTGGAAGATGAATACAATGATGATCACTCACCAGGAGATCGGTCAGAGATCTGCAATGATATTAAGACATTATCTTCCATTCAGCATGCTTTGAGGGAATCTAACGATGATACAAATGGATGTAGGTGGTCTCAAGTTCGCAAGGGCACAAAAATCATGGTTCAAGTTGTCAAGGAGGGATTGGGCACGAAAGGTCCAACACTGAGTCCCTTTCCATGCTTAAGAAGCCGATTTTGGGTGCGTAAGATTAACATAGTTCATTAGCTCTCATGCTCTTCGAGCATTACATTTTTAGAGCTTTATAATCTCTTGTTTAAAAAAATTAATGCTTCATAATCTCTTGTTTATCACCAAAGAACTAGGAATGGACAGGGATGCGTGTTAGCTATTCACGTGCCAGAACCATGAGTTGGTTTCGAGATCTTATGGGTTTCAACTCTAGCCTACCCCAACTTGTTTGGTCTTGTTTGCCATTGGTACAACAGTCGCACAAAAGGAATATCTCTGACCGCTAAATGCGGCTTGGTTAGTTCACGGAACCACCACTATTTGTGTCTGCACCCTGTTGCAAAAACGCATGTTACGCACATGAAAAAAATGTGAAGAAAAATCTGGGATGTACAACATCCTTAGCACGTGCATTTGCAAAGTATGCCATAACAAGCTGTTTCATGCTTCACTATGTAAGAAACCTTTTTGAGTTCTGATCTTGAACAAAGCAATGATCTTAACTTACCTGGAATATGTCGCTTACGGACATTTGCCATGATAACATGTTAATGATATCACCGACGACTAACTATTCGAGGCACATTCTGATCTAAGTACCAAAACTTTTGAAAGAATGCCCTTGTTCTGACAGACCCCGCATTGTATGGTGCATAGGTGCTCAGGTAGAAACTTTTTTAACTTTGGAATGAGCCTTCCATTTTGAATTGCAGATATTGGTCTCTCGTGGCAACAAAGTTGGAGTTTCAAAAAAGATTACTGGGATAGAACGCACCCGGTTGAAGGGCATTACGAAGTTATTACGACCTCCTGGATTTACTCTGACAGCTCGTACAGTTGCCGCTGGCCATTCTTGGGAGGAGTTAAACAAGGACCTTGATCGGTTGTTATCTACCTGGAAAGGAATAACTGAACATGCTCAATCTGCTGCCCTAGCTGCCGAGGAGGGTGTGGAAGGTGCTATTCCTGTTATGTTGTATAGATCAAAGGGCCAGGCTCTATCTATTGTTCAAGATGATTTTAATGAGAAGGTGAGTTAAGTTTGCATACTGTTCAAAACACAGCAGAACCAATAAAATTATGTCACGAGTACATTTCTTTTCAAACGCTTTACTCGAATCCCGATTAACTGGTATTCTAAATATAGGTCAAGAGGTTGGTTGTGGATTCTCCTCGCACCTACCATGAGGTACGTTTATAGTCATTTAAACTCTTGAAGAAATATTTTTTGTAAAATATTTTTCCTTCACACCGATGCATGCTTTATGGTGTGTACCTCTAGACAGAAGTTGACTTCTATATGCCTGTTTTTTCTGTAATCCAAGAAGTAAACACTTGAAAATATATTCTCTGAAAATTTGCTGCATATTTTTTGTTGTCACATAAGCCTGTTGAATGAGTGGCCCATGTGGCCCACGTACTGCTGGCCCAGGATGGCTAGGCCCATACTAGAGTGGTCCAATCTTCACGAAGTGGAGGTGGATGTGAGGAAGAACACGAAGAACACGAGGGGAAACACAATGGGAACTAGTACAAATCAACACACAAGTTGCAATAAAGATACACACAGATAGATCCTTGATCCAAATCATCCACAAGAGAGAGATGAAACAAGATAGGGTTCTTCCCCAAGTCCTAACACAAGGAGGGCTTGAATTCGTAGAGGAATCTTCACGTGGCCTTGATATTGCGTGAGTCTTCTCCCTCGGGAGGTCGTGTTCTCCATCAGGAGTCATCTCCACAATGGAGGAATCCCACTAGGAATGAGTTCTAATCTTAGCTAACCCTGGATCTAAGGTGGGGGAGAGGTTTGGTTGTGCTACCTGTGTTTGTGTGTGTTTGCGGTGTTGACCTTTTTGGGTAAGGGGGGGGGGGAGGTATATATAGGTCCACCCACAAATGGGTAAGTGAGGAGGGGATACATGGCTCGTGGGCCCAAAACTTTGCGCAGTCAGTCTTACCGATCAGTCTGGTCGCGGAGGACTGGACAGTCCGGTAGTGCAAATCTTCGGAGGCTTCGGCGCAGGACTGGATAGTCTGGTCGGTTGGACCGGCCAGTCCGGTGGCGAGTCTTTTGGACAGTCTGGTGGCAACAGAAGGTTTTGAAGCTGTGCAGACCCACACGGACTGTCCGGCTAGCCGTCCGGATGCACCTCTTCTTCCGTCATTGCTTCCACGCTTCCCTCTTGGATGGCATAGTCGTACTCTTGTGCTTGCACTCCCTCAACATGCGCGAAGCTCAGCTTAAACCTATACATGCATTAGGAAGGAGGGTCAAGTAGTATACCATCCTCGAAGGGGCAAGTAAACACTACGTAAAGGAGAGAAATTCACCTTCATATGTATGATGTGGGAGATGCGTGTGTCTCCTGACGGTGGGGCACTTGACATGGTGATGTCCGTGGGATGCTCCGCATCAAGATGGGAATGAATGATATCTATCACCCCACTTGAGGGCGAGTGTTGTATGAGTGACCCATGTATTGCTGGCCTAGGAGGCCCAGGCCCATACCAGAGAGTGGCTTCTTAGAGTACTATTTATATAACCATGTAGCCTTTTGTATTTACCCCATTGTATAAGGGGTTTTCTGCATATCTTACACCTGTACATGTATATATATATTGGCCTACGACGTCATGGGAATACAAGTTGCATATTCCTAACATGGTATTAGATCTCAGGTTTTTTTAGCACGCACAACTCGTGCTTGATCCTTTCCTGGCGTCGTCGTGTTCTCCTTGTTGGATGTGTAACGCCCCTATCTGGTTGAGGGGCGACCAGAGTAGGCTACGGATTGGATCGGGAGGGAAAAGGTGCGAAGACTTGGAAAGGGGATGAGCGAAGGGGGAGTAGGTGAGGGGAATTCAGATTACTTTCAACCAACATGCCGATACATCCCTTCTCCAGGGTTTAAGTACACACGCTACGCCATTGGCCCTTGCCTCTTACACGCTTACAGGTGGAACCCACGCACGCCTACACTTGGCCATGCCAACTGGCAGTCACACGGTGGTGTGTTCTACTGCTGTGACAGGATGTCGCTGTTTCGTCGCCGCCTCGATTCTCTACTCTGGCAACTGCTTGCCCACCCTCCCAATACTCCGGTCAACGCCACTGCCCCGAGCCGCCTGCTTCGTCTTGAATCAAGCCGCCCGTGTCCTGATCTCTAGATCGAGACGCCGCGGGACTCCTCTGGGTCGAGCCGCAGACTTCCGCGAGACTCCTCTAGATTGAGTCATCCAGGTCCAGCTTTCTGGATCGCGTCGCCTGCCCTGGTTCCCTCCTCTGGATTGCCTCCTGATTCTGGCGAGCCGCCCAGGTCGTCACCTTGTTAGTTCATGGCCCCGCCGGTTCGTCATGTGGGCTCTCGATCGCGATTCTGACCCCAGTTGTCGTTCCTCGCCGATCTCTGCTACTGGCCATCGATTCTTGTCACCACCGGCCGCTGATTCCTTATGCTGGCCGCCGGACCCGGCCACCTCCGGCTGGAATTGATCTCCGGCTCATCTGTTGCCCCTTGGTCCCGTCGGGACCCTCTGGTGGTAGCCCGTGAGGGCTGCTACTGCCTGTCGGTCGGTCGTGAAAAAAGGAGAAAAAAGAGAGAGATGTTTTCATCGGGGTTGTATGTCCCTCGTCGCCCGATGAATCTTGACGTTGTTTTCTTCACTGCCCCTGTCTTGCACATGGGCCGTTTCTCGGGGCTTGATGCTTGTTCACCTGTAACGTCGTCCCCTTAGGCGTCTTCCGCAGGTTGTGCTGGTCGCTCTTCTGCGGCTCCTCCTGTGACCTCATATGGTGATTGTTGCTCTACACTGACGACTCTCGCGACTTTCACCTGTGAATGTTGCTCTTCCCCGACACCTCTGCGACTTTCACCGGCTGTACTAGTGCGCATGACTGCATCGACCGTGCCTCACACACATGTCTTCCCTTGGCCCTTGGTGCTTGTCTGCATATGGCCTCGTCTCCTCCACCATCGGCCTTTGCCGGTGCTACTGGTCATGCTACACCGTCACATTTAGCGGGTTCCACAAGTGGTGGTGGCCGCTCCTTTCCCGGTGCTACTATGTCGACTACTTCAGTTGTGTACTTCATTGAGGAGATTGCGCAACTTCATGCCCTGCTGATTGTCTCCGACTTTCTATTTTCGGGTGCATCTACGTCGACCTCTTCAGTTGAGTCCTTGACCGAGCAGGAGATTGGTGCTACTTCGATGCCTGCTAGCTCCATCTTCCGGTTCTCCATCGACAGGTTCTGCTGGTTCTGCTACTGACTCTTTGGCATTGTGAGACCACCTTCTATACAAGCAGGTACATCTTCGTGGATTCTTGATACCGAAGCATCTTTTCATATGACTCATGATTCATCCACTTTGTCCTCTACTCGACCTCTTGATTCTTTTGCTCATGTTCTTACTGGTGATGGTACCTCTCTCCTGGTTACTGGTCGAGGCATTCTTGGTACTTCATCTTTTCATGTTCCTGATGTTGCTCATGTTCCCCGACTTACCATGCAGCTCATTTCTGGTGGCCAGATTATTGATTTTGGTTGTTGTGTCATTCTCGACTTTCACTATTGTTCCGTTCTGGACCGTCATTCTGACGCTCTCCTTGGTGCTGGCCCTCGACATCATGACTCTCAGGGCCTCTGGGAGTTTGACTGGCTTCATCTGCCGTCCGTTGCGAGTCTCCCCCCTCTGCTGCCTTGTCTACCAGCTCTTTTCAATAGTGGCATCTTCGCCTTGGTCACTTGTGTGGCTCTCGTCTTTCATCCTTAGTTCGACGTGGTCTTCTTGGATCCGTTTCCGGCGGTGTGTCTTTAGATTGTCAGGGTTGTCGGCTTGGTAAACAGGTCCAATTACCTTATCCTCATAGCGACACTGTCTCAACGTCCTTTTGACCTTGTTCACTCTGATGTCCGGGGTCCAACTCCCTTTGCCTTGAAAGGAGGTCATCGCTACTATATTATCTTTGTAGATGATTTCTCTCGATACACCTGGATATATTTTGTGTCTTCTCATAGTGAGGTGTTATCCATCTATAAGCATTTTGCTGCCATGGTTCACACTCAGTTCACTATGCCTATTCGTGTGTTCTGTGCTGACTTTGCTGGAGAGTATATCTCCAAGATGTTGCATGGAGTCCTTGCTGAGCAGGGTACTCTTGCCCAGTTGCCATGTGCTGGTGCTCATGCTCAGAATGGCGTGGCTAAGCGCAAGCATCGTCACCTTCTTGAGACGGCTTTGCATTGATGATTGCCGCCTCTTCTTTCACCTCACTTCTAGGCTGAGGCTGTCTCCACTTCCACCTATCTCATCAACCTTTGGCCATCCACTGCTCTGCAGGGTGGCGTTCCTTCCGAGCATCTCTTTGATAGTTCTCCTGATTATTCGGTGCTTCATTTGTTTGGTTGTGTTTGCTATGTTCTTGCCCCTCATGAACACACCAAATTGTCCGTTCAGTTGAGTGTGTCTTCTTAGGTTATAATGATGAGCATAAGGGCTATCGTTGTTGGGATCCAATTAGTCGCCAGATGTGTATTTCTCGGGATGTGACTTTTGACGAGTCTCGTCCCTTCTACCCGCGTCCATCTTCCTCGACCTTTTCAGTGGAGGATATATTTTTCCTCACTTTTCCTGACACACCTATCACTCTTGTTCAGCCCTTGTCCGTCCGTCCTACTGCCCCTGCTTCTCCGACTGATGCATATCCAACGCCATCTCCCATGGTTTCCTCACCTCGCTCGTCACATGATTCTGCTCCTTCATCCCCGGTGTCTTCTTCGTCACCCTCACCTATCTCAGTGATTCTTCCTCGTATTCTTCTATCTTTTCCTCGGTATTATACTCGTCGTCCGCGTAATGTGGATGTGTCTATTGATGTGCCATCTTCCCCATCTCATCAACCTACTTATGGCTTGCGTCCTTGTTCGCTTCCGCCTGTTGATCGACTTGGTTTTCCAAGCGCAAGCGCTGCTGTTCTTGAGCCGACTTCATATCGTGAAGCTGTTGTTCATCCTGGATGGCAGTTTACGATGGCTGAGGAGCTTGTTGCTCTTGAGTGCACCGACACGTGGGATCTTGTTTCTCTTCCTCCTCGTGTCTGTCACATCATTTGTAAGTGGGTCTACAAGGTTGAGACTCGTTCCGATGGTTCTCTTGAGCACTACAAAGCTAGTCTTGTGGCTCGTGGTTTTCAACAGGAGCATGGTCGTGATTATGATGAGACTTTTGCTCCTGTGGCCTAGATGACCACTATTTGTACACTTCTTGCCGTGGCCTTTGTTCGGCACTGGTCTGTGTCTCAGCTTGATGTTAAGAATGCCTTTCTTAATGGTGAGCTGCGTGAGGAGGTTTACATGCAGCCACCACCTGGGTATTCTATTCCTGATGGCATGGTCTGCCGTCTTCATCGCTCTCTCTTTCTGGCCTTAAGCAAGCTCCTCACGCCTGGTTTGAGTGTTTTGCCTCTGTGGTGACAGCCCCTGGTTTTTCAGCGAGTGCTCATGATCCAGCGCTGTTTGTCCACCTTTCTGCTCATGGTCGGACTCTTCTTCTTCTCTATGTTGATGACATGATCATCACTGGCGACGACCCCGAGTATATTGCCTTTGTGAAGGCCCGTCTTAGTGAGCAGTTTCTTATGTCTGATCTTGGCCCTCCTTGCTACTTTCTTGGAATCGAAGTCTCTTCTACCACCGATGGCCTTTTTATTTCCCAGGAAAAGTATATCCAGGATCTTGCTTGTGTTGCTCTTACAAATGAGCGCATTGTTGACTCCCATGGAGCTCAATGTCCACCTCCGTGATATTGACGGTGTCCCCTTGTTTGATCCAACACGTTATCATCATCTTGTTGGTAGTCTTGTCTATCTAGCTGTCACTTGTCCAGATATCTCTTATCCGGTCCATATTCTGAGTCAGTTTGTCTCTGCTCCCACTTCGGTTCACTATAGTCATCTCCGTCGTGTTCTCCGGTATCTTCGGGGCACGATCTCTCACCGTCTGTTCTTTCCTTGCTCTAGTTCCTTGCAGCTTCAGGCTTATTCGGATGCTACGTGGGCTAGTGATCCCTCAGACCTCGGTTCACTTTCTGCTTACTTTGTTTTTCTTGGTGGTTCTCTCATTTGCCTGGAAGACGAAGAAACAGACTGCAGTTTCCCATTCAAGTGCAGAGGCTGAGTTGCGAGCTATGGCTCTTTTGAAGGCAGAGGTGACTTGGTTACAGTGGTTACTTTAGGAGTTTGGTGTTTCTGTCACTACACCTACCCTGCTATTGTTTGACAGTACATGCGCTATTAGCATCGTGCACGATCCTATGAAGCATGAGCTGACCAAGCATATTGGTCTTGATGCTTTCTATGTGTGCGTTGGTGTGCAGGATCAGGTTATTGCTCTTTAGTATGTGCCTTCCGAGTTACAGTTGGCGGATTTCTTTACGAAGGCCCAGACTAGGGTGCAGCATGGTTTCTATCTCTTCAAACTCGGTGTTGTTTATCCACCATGAGTTTGAGGGTGGGTGTTAGAGTACTATTTATATAGCCATGTAGCCTTTTGCATTTACCCCATTGTATAAGGGGTTTTCTGCATATCCTACACCTGTACATGTATATATACTGGCCTATGGCCTCATGGGAATACAAGTTATGGCTGACCTAGTTGAGGTAGAGCTCCAGGCAGCAAAGGAGTGGGTCGCCAGAACAATCTATGGGTTCGACCACAGGTGTGCCTCCACTGTCCTACAAAGCATAATAATTAAATATGGATAGTTGTACTGTTAGCATATTAGTGTACCTTAAAACAACCTTAAAGTGAAAATGTACAATTTACATTTTACTGTCAACATATTAGTGTTTCTTATGGATATAAAAGCAAAACATGTATTGTGTGCCCTACCTTACATTGAGGGATATTGTCCATTCTTAGTAGAAAATCACATTTTCCAGACCTCTTGATGTAAAAAAAAAGCTTTTCTTCTTTCGTTTCTAGGTTACGGGCTATCTCCAAGAGGTTGCACCTGAGCTCTGCAATCGAGTCGACCTCTACGAGAAAAGAACTCCCATATTCGATGAATATAAGATCGAAAAGGAGATCGACAATATTCTCTGCAAAAGGTATGATATCTCTTCCTGCATTACTGATGTTCGTTTTACAGCTGCTAATGTTTTTGCTTCCTATGTGTAGTATCTGCGAGCCATTCTACTGGAGAGCAAAATTGCATCTGTAATTGTGTATTTGAGTTTGATAAGTAGCTTCAGTACGTCTGGACCAAGGAGCTGCTTTTGTGGAGTAGTGTGGATGTTATCTCTGCATTGCTGCTACCATAACTTTTATCACTTCCTAACTAAGAATAAATTAATTTAATAAAAGCCAATCCAAAGAGCAGAGTGCAACAACTACAGTGGCTTGGTGTCGTAGGTATTTCTGCGTAGAACTAGCTCAAAGAGTTAAGTTAACTTAGAAGTTGGTTTTGTAATAGCTGATCCATCATGGGCCAAACAAGTCAATTGGCCCATGACCGAATTGACATTGGCACCCAAGGGAGCCAAGGAAAAAAAAGAAGGAAAAATGGCAGAAAAAGGAGGTTCCCTCGGGAATGAGTGAACTGTCCCAACCCTCTGGCCAGCAAGCAGCCAGCCCGGCGGCTCTGGCTCTGACCCAGGCACAACCTTCAAGAAGGATATCACTGAGAAGGGTGCGATCGTTCGGTTGTGCGTTGCCGAAGGTGCAGGCATCCCTGTGCTTCCAGATCATCCAAGATGTTAGGAGTACAGTACTAGCGAGGCCTTTTCGCCGCTCCTTGGAGGTTCTCTGCTTGGTTTCCAGCCACTAGTCGATGAGGGTCTCGCCAGGATCAGGCCCCCTGGAGGAGGTACGGAACCAAGGCATGACCTCATGCCAAATATCCCTGGCGAACAGGTAGTGGACCAGGAGATGCTGCATGGTCTCCAAAGTTTGGACGCAGAGCAGGCAAGCAGGATTATGTGGCAGCGCTTTGTGGGCAAGGGCGCTGCGCATTCCAACAACGATCAGACCGGCCAGCCAAAAATTGACTTTACGAGGAGCCCATGTCTTCAAAGTATGTTTCCAGGCACAACAGCGACAGACCCATGGAAGGTTGCCCTATAGCCTGGTCTGGCAGAGTAGACACCAGACTTAGTCCACCTCCAGACGAGGCATTCAGGCTCATCGAAGGGTTGGTAGGCTCGCCAGAGCGTCACAAACTCTCAGAGCCCCAACAAGGAAAGCTCAATCAGGATGTTGTCAATCCAGGCACCATTGAGAAGCCCCTGGGCCACGGTGCGAATTTCACCTCGACGGTTAGGGATCTTGGCGAGGATGTCAGTTGATAATTTTGCCACCGCGCTACTGCCAAGCCTGCGGTCAGACCAAAACTGGCAAGAAGACTGCCCATTGCCAATGATAGGCACTTGGGTGTCCTGATCTTCCGATTAGAGGTACTCCTTTGATTTTATAGGAGTTGACTTTGACGATCGGACTACAATGTGTGTTGACGCTGTGCCATGCAATCGCTAAACCAACTCCAGAGTTGTTATTGACCAAGCTATGAACAGCAATGTGAGTATTGCGAATATGAGTTGGGGTTCTGAAAAGCGGTTCACCGGCGGTCGTTGGACACATCAGTTTACACGAAGTTGCAGCAATGTCCTAGGGCGGTATTTATGGAGGGACGAAGGGGAAATTCGGCCATCCTTGGGAGCCAGAGGCGACGAAATCCACCATAAGTCGGCTTCCTCCACTTATACAGACTAAAACTGCCCAGAAGTTAGGTGGCACAACATCTATGGATGATTATCGACGGAATTATGAGGTGTCATCTTGTATATTTCGTCCATGTCTTCATTCAGCGGCTGGTTTTCAGGGGTTCAAACACTAGTGTCCTTCTGATAATGACGGGATGTTAGGTAATAAACACATCAAGCTAATGCACCAAAGTAAAGAAGCCCAGCCCATGTAACATTGTGGCCTGCCCATGTGTTTGTTTTGCCCCGGGCTGTGCCAATGGTCAATGTGATAGATCTGATCGATTGGTGTACCACGTCTCGCTGCAGGGAGTTTAGGAGGCCTACCGTTGCCTCCACCGCTCGTCACGACGCCATCCACAATCGCATACTAGTACACAGCTGGACGCCAAGCGATTGGAGACCAGCGAGTATTCAGTTCGCCTGCAACAGCCACCACTTATTGAGTCACCAGCTTTTCGCATGTCTGTACCACAACTCTTGCCTGAAAGGATGGCAGAGGACAATGACGTCGTCAGCGTGCAGGGATTTAGCCAGGATTTGCCTATGAGGGTAAAGAAGCCAAAGTCCAGGGTAGGCTGAACCAAGCGGCAGAGGGTGTCGACGGACAGTATGAAGATTTGCGGGGAAAGCGGGTCCCCTTGCCACATGCCCTTCCGGTGCCAAATCGGTGCGCTGGGCATGCCGTTGATCAGGACCCTAGTATTGGCGTAGGAGCACAATATGCACAGCCAACCGCAGAATTTCTTGCCAAAACCATAGCGACAAAGAACCTTGAGGACGAATGTTCAGGAGATCGAGTCAAACGCTTTGGTTAGGTCAAGCTTTAGCAGCTCCCGCGGCAACTTGAGCTGGTGAAGGAGCCACGCCGATTGATATTAGAGATGCTTATAAATTTCTGCCTTATTATATGATAGTGTTTCCTTTGTTGCAGGGTTGTGCTACAGAATGGGGGTTCATTAATTATAGAACAGACTGAAGCTCTAGTTTCCATTGATGTGAATGGTGGCCACAGTATGTTTGGTCAAGGGACGTCGCAGGAGAAGGCTATTTTAGATGTCAATCTTGAAGCTGCAAAGCAAGTATGTGCTTTATGCTTTTGCTTTGCAGGAAAACAGTATATTTGCTTCCAAATTGTCTCTCAGAATCTATCTGTGTCATGAACTTATCCTTCTGTCGTGATTCACTTTCATTGCTTTATTAATTGCTACAGATGCAATTCATTGCACTTTGTCTTGCACGGCACAGGTTTGCTATGAAAATATTGCTCTTGCTTCTTGTTATGAGTGAACATATTTATGATGAAACTATCGACTTTGCAGTAGCACTTAAGGGATGCAGTTGGTGTATGTGCTAGAGCTGCTACTCCCCTGTTTATATATAAGGGGTGTTTGACTTTTCAGTCTCCAATGCATGATCTTGAGTACGATTTTTACTTTATAATATGCTTAATTTTTTTAGTAAAATGATATATGACATGCAAATATGACATGCAAATATTTTGCAAGACAAATACAACAACATTAGTGGTCAAAGTTTTAAAAAGTTGATCACATGTATACTTATGTGCCTTATGTTTTGAATAGCGGTAGTATGTCAGTTTGTCCGGGCTGTTGGTTCTGTTTGGCCATTCTATTAATTTCATATTGTTAGCTATATATTAGCATCAGTGTATCACATGCTCATATCACAAATTTTCATTAGTTCTTTTATATGTTGGTTATCTAATCCCAAGGCAGGATGACCTAATGAGTGGGCTGCTCACACACACGTAGCTATTGCACATTCAAAAATAAATGCATCCCTTCTGGTAGAATGTAACATCAAATAATAGCGTAATATTTGGATTTTATCATTTTATGAGTGTTGTTGACTTACTGTCATTTAGGTGATTGTATTTTGAGAAGTGATATCTGTGTATGGTTCACAAAGGAATTGTTACTTATTTCATTTCAAGTACTAAATAAAAAATTCACTGTCTGATGGCACACATTTTACTTCATAACCTTCTGCTTTTTAAGATTAAATAGTGCATATTTCTCTTTTTTTTAGCTGGGACAATCAGCCTTCATCAGCATATTCTGTACTCCTGCGTTCATAATATAGTGCACATTGGTTTTCTCAGAAGTTAAATTTCAGAAACTTAGACCAAGTTCACCGAGAAAATTATCTATATCTACTATACCGGATATATACCATATGAAATATAATCATGATTAAAATAATGGTATTGATTTGGAATTCTAGACGCTGATAATTTTTTCCTATAAACTTGGTCAAAGTTTAAAAGTATGCCTTTGAAAAATCTAGTAAACACTATTTTGGAACGGGAGTACCATTTATTACTCAAATTATACTTGATGCATTGATATCCCTATTAGAAAATTGCTTTGCACAATGATACCATACCTGCAACTGGTACTTGTGTTTTGTGTAACCAGCAACCATACACACGCTATGGAGCAAGATAATAAATCTGGCTTGCATAGGTTGATTGTATATTTGAAGTATGGAAGATTATTAAAGTACTGGACTTGATTGCTAATCTTGAAATTTCTTCAACACAGATTGCTCGTGAGCTGCGCTTGAGGGATATTGGTGGCATCATTGTTGTTGATTTTATCGACATGACGGACGATTGTAAGATATAGTTTCGACTCTCGTAGAAGTAATAATGTCATGTAAATGCATATCCAGGATTGTGCATTTGTTTTACATATTCTCACTAAACTTGCATTTATGTTTTGCTTTATTTATTTATTTTTTCTGCCAACCCGTTGATACTTGACTATCTTGTACAATTTTATATCGTATACTAGTATCATTTGTGCAGCCTGATGTTTTAGAATTTACTAGAATGCAGTCTCATTGAATATCATTCTGTGACCTGTACCTTCTCATGTTTTCACATGCTAGGGTAAAATTACCTAGCAAATGATGCTGCTTATTGATGTTAAACTGCTAGATTGTTTTGTAAAAAATCAAGTATAAGATTTCATTTAATGGCATTCTTTTATTAGTGAACAGTATATTACATTTTGTAGTCAAACACTTGCATATCATTACTCCTGCCAGTAAGATTCAGTCTGGTGTTTGTCCTACAAATTCTTCTTCTTTACCTGTTAAGTTGTTATATGTATCTGGATGCTGGTAAATTTGGTTGGATTTTCAACAAAAAAATGATTAAATTTTGCTCAGTATCTCTATAAGAATATTTGGCATCTGATCTGGATACTTTGCAAAAGTTAGGAATTGTTTGGCTAGATTTTTGTGTGTGCCATCATTTCTCTTCTGACAGGAAATTCACGATTTGTAATTTAAAAAGTGCATTCTGTTCAAAACTGAATCTTCATGGAATTTTAAGAGCTTTGCTTATGCTCTGAATTAAGGCCACTACAGGTAATAGAGAACACCGCTTTTACTTGTACTACCATTTGGGCATCCTGCAGAGTTGGTTAAATTGTTAGTTGACATCGTGACCAATCTGTTATGGCATTCCCATTTTTCTTCTGATGGTTGAGACAAATTCCTTCCTGGTTATTTAATCAATGTTTCTTGCACTTAATGATGTCCATCAGATTATGCGTATTTTGCTGCTCCTTTTTTTTTAGCCTTGATCTAATCTAGCATTTTCCCTCAGCAAACAAAAGATTAATCTATGAAGAAATGAAGAAAGCAGTAGAAAAGGACCGCTCAACCGTTGGTGTTTCAGAATTGTCAAAGCTAGGTTTGATGGAAATAACTAGAAAAAGGGTAATGTGCTACTGACACTTTGCCAGCATGCTGACACTATGTTCTTGTATACTGGAAACTTCAATTTTCATAAGAGCGCAATAAATCTTGTTGGTTGTTACTTGGAGTTATCAGTGGCAAACTCGTAATTGCTTGAATCACTTTGCCAGCATGCTGACAGTTATCCAAGAGGTTCACAATAACATGAACACATATTTATCTGATTATATAGTACGTATTGAGCAATAGTAAGTTGATGAAACCCAAGGGTATCCAAAGAAGGCTAAATAAACAAAAATATTGAGAAATCACTATTGCCACATTTATTGTCCATTTTCCTTATAAAATTTAAGACATATTAGGTGAGGTATCCTGAACTGATTAATCACCCATCGTTCTGATCCACGATTTGCCTGACCTATGCTTGCTAGGGTGCAAACTCTGACTAAAAATGACATCGTTTTAATGAGAATACTCTCTATATTGAAATTTGTGAAGATGGAAGTGTGATTCAGAAGTTCATGTTGTCAGTGTACGTACAAACGTTTTCTTCTCATCTCAAGATTTCTCTGTTCTCTCCCACGGTCATGGTTTATACTGAATTTCCAGTATATGGGGATTCTGGCAGAAAACACTGTATGTCAGCATCTGAATACTGTCAAAATCAGAAGTTCGACTGCATCAACTGTTAGAACTCAGGCCTTATTTTGCTCCCTGTATCTCTCCATAAGTTGTCGTACCAAGAAAATGGCTTCCATGGTCGACCTCCCAGGCATGAAACCAAACTGATTTTTGGTCACGCTTGTCATTCTTAAGCAGTGCTCAATGACTTTCCCATAGCTTCATTGTATGGTTCATCAGCTTAATTCCATGGTAATTAGTACAACTCTGAACATCCCCTTGTTCTTGAAGATTGGTACTAATATACTCCGTCTCCATCCTTCTGGCATCTTGTTTGCCTGAAAAATGTGGTTGAAAAGCTTGGTTAGCCATACTATCGCTGTGTCCCCGAGGCCTTCCCACACCTCAATGGGGATACAATCAGGGCCCGTTGCCTTGCCTCATTTCATCCTTTTTAAAGCCTCCTTGACCTCAGACTCTTGGATTCGCCGCACAAAACGCATGCTGGTCTCATCAAAAGAGTCGTCCAGTTCAATGGTAGAACTCTCATTCTCCCCATTGAACAGCTTGTCGAAGTACTCCCACCATCTATGCTTAATCCCCTCTCCTTCACCAGGAGTTGGTCTGCTCCGTCTTTGATGCATTTGACTTGGCCAACATCCCTCGTCTTCCTCTCTCGGATCTTGGCCATCTTATAGATGTCCCTTTCGCCTTCCTTTGTGCCTAACCATTGGTAGAGGTCCTCATACGCCCGACCCCTTGCTTCACTGACAGCTCGCTTTGCAGCCTTCTTCGTCATCTTGTACTTTATGTTGTCTGCACTGCTATCCAGGTATAGGCGTCTGAAACAATCTTTCTTCTCTTTAATCGCCTTCTGGACATCATCATTCCACCACCAGGTATCCTTAGCTTCGCTTCTCCTTCCCCTGGACACTCCAAACTCCTTCGAGGCCACCTTACGGATGCAAGTCGCCATCTTCATCCACACATTGTCTGCATCCCCTCCTTCCTTCCAAGGGCCCTCCTTAATGACCCTATCCTTGAACGCCTGAGCTACCTCCCCCTTGAGCTTCCACCACTTCGTTCTAGCAACTTTGGCACACTTATCCCACTGGACACGAATCCGAAAGCGGAAGTCAGCAGCCACCAGCTTATGCTGAGGGACAACACTCTCTCCAGGTATCACCTTACAATCTAGGCACGCACGCCTATCTTCTCTTCTCGAGAGGACGAAATTAATCTGGCTAGAGTGTTGGCCACTACTAAAAGTCACCAGATGTGATTATCTCATTTTAAAGAGGGTGTTAGCTACGATCATGTCGTAGGCTAGAGCAAAGCTTAAGACATCTTCTCCTTCTTGATTCCTGATGCCATAGCCAAAGCCCCAATGCACCCCTTCAAAACCTGTGTTAGATGTACCCACGAGGCCATTGAGGTCTCCTCTTATGAAGAGCTTCTCGCCAATCGGTACACTCCTCACCATGTCCTCCAGGCCTTCCAAGAACTCCCTCTTGGTGTTCTCATTGTGGCCTACTTGCGGGGCATACGCGCTGATAACATTGAGAACTAAGTCACCAACTACCAGCTTGACCAGGATAGTCCGGTCCCCGCGGAAGCTAACAATGGCGTGCAAACTCCAGCAAGGTGAATTCGCCACCGTTCTCGGTGCGGAAGACACCCATGGCCTCAAGCGCCATGCGATTTTCCTGGTGGTCGCGTCGCCGAATTCGATGGCTTCCCACAGATCATGGCCCTCCAGCTTCACCCTCATGAGGAGGCTCCAATCCTCATAGTTCCTCCTGAGTCAGCTGCAGGAACACCGCGCCGTTGACTTCCTTCACCCCGCGCTGGATGGCAACCTCTGGTCTGTCATGGCGCCCCCTGCGCCTTGGCTGCGTGGAAGGCGAACGACGACTATAGACATGCTGCTGTGTGCTGCGACCGATGCGGCCACCCACTGAAGCTAGCATGGTCTTGGATCAGCACCTTGCTTTCATATTGAATGTTAGAACTCAGGCTGAGATAGAGAGGCAGAGGGAAGCTGGGGCTGAACACAGGATAGTGTTTTTCTGAAGCTGTTGCTTGTATTGCTGCCCTGGGGTCTATAGATAATGGGCAAGTCGATTGCTAATGCTAAATCGACCATGCAACTCTAGCAGCTGCTAGTACATGCAGAAAGCAAATTGACTACTAGCTGCCTGCGTGCATATTTTTTGGGACAGAGGGAGTACATACTAAGAAAGCTCGAGCGGACCTACACTAATAATAGCCAAGTAAATACAACATAAAGATTACAGCTAACATCAACTGTCTTTTCTCTTTGAAAATAAGGTTGTAACTGCTTAGTCATCAGTAGTTTCTGAATGTTCTTGTTTTTTATTTTAATGGTGAAATTATGTTCGTGTAGCAACATACTCCCTCCGTCCCAAAATTCTTGTCTTAGATTTGTCTAAATATTTGTATTTAGACAAATCTAAGACAAGAAGTTTGGGACGGAGGGAGTACTTACTACTGTTATTTGTTTATTACTTTTGAGTCATCCCGACACCCCTCCTTTAAATTATCATGTTGCCAGTAATGTTGATATGCCTGGTTGGTATGCAGGTTCGACCAAGTGTTACTTTCATGATCAGCGAGCCTTGTCCATGTTGCCATGGTATTGGTCGTGTTGAAGCTCTTGATACGTCCTTTTCTAAGATAGAACGTGAAATCTGTCGACGCCTGGTAAGTCCTACAGACAATGCTTGTTTGTTGTCCGTCCTCAGTTTATGGCTTTAGTTTGTGTTACACTATCGAAATGAATGCTCACACTGGATGTAGCTAATTTTCTAGAGATAATTTGATACAATACTGATGACCCATGGAATTGAAATCGCATGTTTGTTTAGATAATTTGGCATTATGATAAACCTTTTTCTTCTGGATGCACATATGATCTCCTTATATAGCCAAAATTCCAGACATAGAACTTCAGGTCATGATGTACTCAGTGTTTTAGTCACAGTTATTGACAAGGAATGTTTGTCTTAAATCTTTTCCAATGAACAGGCCGTCTCTGGTCATAATCCAGATCCAGAAAAACCAAAATTGTGGCCAAGATTTTTGCTTAGGGTGGACCATGAGATGTGCACGTACTTGACGTCAGGCAAAAGGACTAAATTAGGGATCCTTAGTAGCTCCCTCAAAGTTTGGGTTTTGTTGAAGGTATAACATGTCATGCGTTTCTTTATCCATTTACACCCTCCATGAATCTTCAATAATGATAAACGTAAGCGAACTCATTTTGCTAATGAAAACAATCCAGATTGCTCGAGGTTTTACACGGGGTGCATTTGAATTGCTACCATATTCTGATCAGAAGGACACGGATGAGCAGAAGGAATTATCACCAGAGTCACCACCTCCAAGGGAAGCAGGAAGACCGAGACTGTCTGTTTTTCCTATAAAGAAATGGATGAGCCGTGCAAAGCGAGCCAAGTGAATATCTTGCAAAGATGAGACGAACTTTTTTTTCAAAGAGCTGAACTGAATCCCAGATTGACAAGGGGTGATTTTCCGAGGGCTTTGCTGTGTTCCAACGGTGATCCCAACAGCGGATATTCATGTTTGCTTGGCTAAAGTTTGGACAACTACTGTCCTTGATTTTGTAGTTGCCACTCAGTGAAGTTTAACGTGAAATGTGGGAAGATCGTAGGACGCAATGAAATTAGATTGTGTGAAAGCTGTGGGGGCAGAGCATAGTTACGTAGTTGTTGTATCGCCCTAGTCAGATTTTTTGTTTATTTATTCAATCATTGTTAAAACATTAAATGATACTCCCTCTGTTCCGTAATATTTGTCGCTGGGGCATTCTTTCCGACCAGGTGAAAAGGGGGGAAAGTACCAAACTACCCTCAATTTGAAAAAAAAAATTGTCGCTGGGATCGTCCTCTTCCTCCGCTCCTCTCCTCCGCCAGGCTCCGCCCTCTGCCGTCCGCAGCTCCCACATCCTCCACCGCAGCTCCGGCGTCCGTCCTTGCCGGCCACAGCTCCCTCGCCGCCCGCCTTCCTCCGCTCCAATCGAGAGCCCCAGATCCCGTCCCGTCGGCCATAGCTCTCTCGCCAGATCCCGTCCCGTCGGCCACAGCTCTCTCGCCGGCCGCCTTCCTCCGCTCCGATCGAGAGCCCCATGTCCGTCCCCGCCCGTGCATCCATCTCGAATTGATCCTCTGTTGCTGCTCCGCTCCTCTCGACCCTCTGCTGCTCCGCTCCTCACAATCCTCTGTTGATGCCCCTCTCCCTTTGCCGCTGAAGACCTGGAAATTTGTGTGGAAATCAGCACAAATCAACACTCTAATGCTCTGCATCTAATTTGCCAGTATAAACAGAAACAGAGTTCAATATAAACATAAACAGAGTTCAGTATAAACACAAGCTACAAGTGCTCTATCATTGACTGCCATGTGCTGAATAATTTTGAGTACAGGAGTAGAAGTTGGCAAAACACAAAAGGCATGAGAAAGGCGAAATTACATCTTCAGGGCAATGGAAACGATCTGCGATTTGTTCAGCAGGGTCTTTGCAGCTGAAAGAGAACATTCATCTACTCCATCTACAGCTAATCCATCTACTCACGCAGTAAAAAAAATCCATCTACAGCTGGAACATGAAGCAAAAACAGATCAAGATGATTTTACTCAAAAAAAAAATCAAGAAAATGCAAGATTACAAATAAGTACTCCTCTGCTTAATGATGCATCTTAATTAACAGAAATGTTTCAGTTAATTTAATGATGCATCTTAATTTCTCATAAATTCGAAGAAAGCATCAATGCTGACAGTAGCGAGAAAATTTTATGTTGTTTTTCATGAACTACATAGTCTTACCTTTGTTATCAAAGGTATCATGAGCTGAATATTTTCAAATTATTCAGTTCCTGGAGCACCTGGCACCTGCATCAGCTCCTCCTTGCTCAAGACGCTCATCTGCCATGGCAGCCAGTAAGATCAGCAACACGTTTCGTTAGAAAACAAAGCAGACATCCACGCGAAAAAAAGCAGATAATGCTGACAATAGGAAGAGAAGGGAAGCGACGGCGAGGTGAGAGGGAGTACCTGCAGCCGTGCCTGACGAGGCCGACGGCGACCCCCCGCGAGACGGCGTCGCCAGCGCCGTTGCAGGCGAGCAGCACCCGTTTCGCGTAGGTGGCATCGGCGGCCATCCCCTTTGCCCTTCTTCTTCACCAACCAACCGCGTTTGTCGCCCAGTAGCTCACCTCCGCACGGCATCCACCACCTCCCTCACCAGATCCAGAGCAGGTGCACGCAGATCAAGCGATGGCGCACGCAGATCCGGCTCCTCCGTCGCCCAGAAGCTCGCCACCGGAGCAAAATTCCCAGCTTTGACCTCGGATGTGGGGCGTGGGTGGAGTGGGGTGTGAGTGGAGTGGGTGCGAGTGGAGGCGGGAGAAATATGACGGCGACAGGGAGAGATGGTGGACGGCGAGGTGGGCGAGGCGGTGCCGGCGAGGTGGGCGAGAAGAGGGAGGCGACGGGGAGAAGCGAGCGGTGAGTGTAGGGATGGCAATGGGTAGGGTATGGGTGGGTACAACCTCCTTCTACCCAAACCCATACCCACAAAAAATTTCTATATCCACCCATTTCAACATCCATGGGCATAAATTGGCACCCATGCCCATACCCATCGGGTATCCTATACCCAATGGGTATCCAGTGGATATAATATATAACATTTAAAATTTTAAAATGTAGAGAAATGGGTTTAAACTTCAAGTGATCATGGACGAGTAGTATATCACCAACACATGCTACTATGGTGGGTGGCCTCTTTGAGGCATCAAGGGAGTATGAGCGGTGGTTAGTAGAAACCCGGTACAGTGGGAGGTCATGCTGAGAATGGGAAATCGCTGGATCGAGCGTTGGATAGGAGTCTGGTAGCAAAGAGTCAAGATTTCATCTTTTCAATGAGTCACGTAGGTCGCGTGAGGAGAGGCAAGCGGGTGATTACGGGCCTATGAGCTATGGCCAATTTAAGGAATTGAGACTTAGGATGGGCCATAGGAGATGGTGTTGGGGAACGTAGTAATTTCAAAAAAATTCCTACGCACACGCAAGATCATGGTGATGCATAGCAACGAGAGGGGAGAGTGTGATCTACGTACCCTTATAGACCGCAACGGAAGCGTTAGCACAACGCGGTTGATGTAGTCATACGTCTTCACGGCCCGACCGATCAAGCACCGAAACTACGGCACCTCCGAGTTTTAGCACACGTTCTGCTCGATGACGATCCCCGGACTCCGATCCAGCAAAGTGTCGGAGAAGAGTTCCGTCAGCACGACGGTGTGGTGACGATCTTGATGTACTACCGTCGCAGGGCTTCGCCTAAGCACCGCTACAATATTATCGAGGACTATGGTGGAAGGGGGCACCGCACACGGTTAAGAATATGATCACGTGGATCAACTTGTGTGTCTACGGGTGCCCCCTGCCCCCGTATATAAAGGATCAAGGGG